ATATAGAATAACTAAAATGATTTATTTTTAAAAATTGTCAGGTGTCTCTATACTTTTTACCAGTGAGTGTATATATTCTTTGTTATTGGCTGCCATGCTAATTTTTAATTTCGAAATATCTTCCACAATTCTTTGACTATCTTCTGAATTTCAACATAGTTTTCTGCTCAATGCTAGAGTTATATAAAATAAAAAAAATAAAAATAATGTTTCACTTTGAAATAATAATAAACAATATTTTAATTTAATATTTAACATTTATTACCATCATTTTGAACCCGTTTTTTCTCATATCTTTTTGATTTCGACTCATTTTTTACAAAAATATATGAAAAATAGGGAGAAATATATAGGAAAATGTATAGAAAAAAGTGAAAAAATTGAATGAGAATATGAAAAATACAAAAGTAGGAGTAAGGGTAAGTGTAAGGGTATGAAAAGTTATTCAAACAAACAAAATAAATATAATAAACCTGATCAATTTTGTGTTACATCAATGAAAATCATGTTTATATTATAGAATATAACGAAAATAACAATAAAGCAAATAAATTATACTTGTTTTCTTTGCTACATTTATATTATTTATATTACACATTTAAACTACTATTCATTTTCGAAAATACATACATTTATTATAAAAAATGGCAATAGCCTTATATTCTTTTTATATCACAAAAATAAATTCTAGAAATAAGAAGAATTAAGCTAGATCATAAATTACTTTTACATTTTCAGAAATATATGACATTTGTTATAAAAAATAGTAATAATCTTATATTCTTTTTATATCACAAAAATAAATTCTAGAAAAAAGAAGAATTAAACTAGATCATAAAACTACTTTCATTTTTATCACATTTTTGAAAATACATGATATTTGTTATAGAAAATGGCAATAGTCTTATATTCTTTTTATATCACAAAAATAAAATTCTAAAAATAAAGAAGGATTAAAAGGATTTGAATATATTCAAATAATTATTGATAATAATAATAAATATACATTTGAAATTTTGAAAATAATATATAAAGTGTTATGAAAAAGAGTATTAAAAGTATTAAACTAACTTTGAAAAAATTGAAAAATATTAAAATTGAAAAATATTTATAGCTAATTTTAAATATCAATATTGTCTTCGTTCTTTTTCGAGTCGTAATGCATATGCCCAACATATAAATCTATATATTGTTAAGTATGATATTAGTATAGAAGAATTCAATGATTCCAACAATTTCAACAATGAAGTTTTGGAAATAATTTCAGAAGTCACTGATATGACAGTAGATAATGAAGATAATGAAAACAGTGAATATAGTGAATATAGTGAAAATAGTGAAGATAGTGTAGATAATGAAAGACAAGAAGAAATAACGTCAAGTTTTGAAATAAGAGAAAATCCACAAAATCTTCAAGAATATAATGGTGATGTTTCATTAATATCACTTTCAATTTCAAAAAATATGAAAATTTACCTTTGAGTTTACGAAATTTTAAAGAAGAACCCGAAATTAAAAATGTTAAAGAATTTCCAAGTGAAGCTTACACCGACTTGATGACTCTTGTTACTAAACATAATCTAAATAATCAAACTGGCAACGAAATTATAAATTTCTTTAACAAGCATTCTAATTTATCTATTTCTCCCCTTCCTAAAAATATCCTTGTTGGTCGAAAATTCATGGATGATATGAATTTATCACACTTAGCTAATTATAAACATCGTATACTTGTTCATAATGATAATGAATATTTTATACACTATTATCCAATCAAAAATTGTATTGAAAATCTTCTATCAAATTCAGACATAATCGAACATTTTGCATATGATTACGAAGATTTGGTGATAAAATTTTAAAATTTTTTAAAAAATTTATATATTTTTACTTTAAAATTAATATAATTAATATTTACATATTATCATAGACCAAGAGAGAAAAATTATATAGGAAGTAAAATTCTGGAAATTGGTAAAAATATGTAGAAGGTTCAATTCCACCTTTAGCACATATTTTGTTAATTATTCTTTATTCGGATACTATTACACTCGATACATTAGGAAAGAATTCATTAAATCCCATTTACATATCTCTTGGCAATATTCCAACGTGGTAAAGAAATAAGGAAGATACTAAACAATTATTAGATTATCTTCCAATTTTATCTGCTAAAGATAAATCAGAAAAAAAATCTTCTGAATTTAAGAAATTAGTTTGTGAAACTTTTCACAATACATTAAAATTCCTACTGGAATCTCTATTCGAAAGTAATAATGGTATCGATTTTAAAGTCAACGGTAATATTATTTAGTTTTTTTCAAGAATTTTTATGATAATTTGTGATTGACCGAAAGCCTGTACTTTTTCGTTAACTTATAAATAAATCAATTCAAAATATCTCTGCCATTTTTGTTTGATACTAAGGGACAATTTGACAAATATAAATTTAAATATAATACTTCATAACCATGAAAATATGATGAAGTATTACAATAATAAGACAGAAAATTTTGTAAGTTTAGAACCAGTATATAATTAGTTTTGAAATATTCCATAAGTATTTAAATAATAATATTTTATTTTATATTATTGAGATACATTTTAATTTTATATTTATATAAATTATTAGAGATATAAATATTAATGCAACTACTGTTCCTAATAGAATGTATTACTTGGACTTAGGCTTGTATCACTATCAAATAGAGTTTACCAAAGAGATATCGAAAGAGAGTAAATCTTTAATCGACAAATTTAACTGGAGAATTACAAAAATTCTAAGACATCTGAATTTAAAGATTTTTTCAAGAGAGTTATAATCAATAACACGATTAACCGCAAATGAATATAGAGATTTGATGAAAGTGATAATATTTGTTGTTGATGATTTATTACAAGATAGAAATCTTTTAAAAATCTATGTGAAATGGAATGAAATGTATTTGATGAGTTAATTAAAAATGTTTAAAGAAAGTGATCTGCAAAAATTTCAAGTAAAAATAATTATTCCTTGAAGCATAGCTAAAAAAATAAAATATTAACCTATTTAATTATATAGAAAGTAATTAATAATTAGGCCGATCTATTCATTAAATTATTTCAAAAATTTTCATTTTCTAAATTGAAATTTCTAAAACTACACTCGTGGATCTATCATATCATTAATACAATTCAAAAATATAGGACAATAAATGGGTATACTACTGAGACATATAAAAGCTTACACAAAACTTATGTAAAAAAACTATATTATCTCAGTAATAAAAAAGATATAGTAGATCAAATAATGAAAAATATAATATAATTATAATATTTCAAAATATTACATAATTTTTAAAGATCTTTAGTAATTTTTATAATATTTTTAGATTCGGCGCTAAGTAATAATTTTGTAGAAACAATTAGAAAAAAAATATAAAACTTCAGTTTCTTTAAGTTATACTATGAAACTGTTTGAATTTAAAATTTCAGAAGTTACTATATTTTTTGAACAACAAAAAAAGAATCTGAATTTAAACAAAAATATGATAAAAGATTTTAATCAGTTTCTTGAAAGTTTGACCGAATATTTTGATATGTATAAAATAGGTTCTGTGAAGGGTTGTCAAATAAAGATATTTAAATCTATTATATTAAATAATCATACCATTTTATGTGTAACAAATAAATTCCAAAATTGACTATGGTTTAGCAATATAGTGATAGTTATCACTGGTCGAAATAGGGAATATCGGACACCTATCGTATGCCTATCGGGAGCCCAATAAGTATACAATAGATGTCCGATATCAACAATTATGTAATATATCGGGCACCCGATTGGTGGGGTCGAAATGCAGAAGTTCGGACACTTATCGGGTCCATATCAGTTTCATATCGGGCATTAATATTTTGATATTTTATTCAAATTCATCATTCATATATCAGGCACCCGATTTTATTTATTTTTTTTTATCGGGTACATATCTTTTATAAATCGGCCATAGTATATCCCTATATATCGGGCACGATATATCTCTGTGTATTGGGTAGTTTTTTTCCCTCTATCGGGTATCTATCGGTACCTTTTATTTATATATATATATAT